ACAGCGGCGGCTGAAGCAGGCCACGTGGGGCAGAGCAGATGGGGTGCTGCTGGGTTGGTCCAGTAGCACCAAGGAGCGGTGCTACTGGAGCAACCCAGCAGCACCCCAGCTGCTCTGCCCCAGGCGTCCCCAACTCAGCCGCTGCTGAAACTGACCAGCGCTGACTACAGGAAGCCCGAGGCACAGTTGCTCTGCCCCGGGCTTCCTGGAATCAGCAGCTGATCAGTTTCAGCAGCAGCTGACTTGGGGTTCTTAAGTTGAATCTGTATGTAAGTCAGAACTGGCAGTCAGTTTAAGCAGCGGCTGAATCTGGACGCCAGTTCCGACTTAAGAACAAACCTACAGTCCCTATCTTGTACGTAACCCAGCGACTGCCTGTAGTTCACCAAAAAATGTCATGTGAGGTTTCAAATGAAAGCTGGTCTTTAATATTGTTGTGAAATGCATGTACAGATACTACATAATGAGTAATGTCTAGATAACTGAAAATATATTGGTAAAGTCTGTATCAAAATATCAACCACCAGCACAGATGAAAAACCTACACAGGAGGTAACAAATGTGCATTCTGTTATAAATACATTAAGCACTGTTAAACACAATGAATGTCCATTTACATATGCAGTCAAATGTTAAAGACATAAGCTCAACAGGAAAGGAACACACAGGAAAAAACAAAATCCTGGACCATGTGGAATGATCTCTGGGATATAGCTAGAAGGGAAAGAAGATGCCCTTTCATTTGCACCTAGAAAGCAGATAACATTTGCATTCCTGAAAACAGAATCTCAGTCAATTCTGAAAATGACTTTGGATGAAACAAACCACATTGCACAGGAGGATAACCTGTTAGCCATCTACATGTTCTGTTAGTCTTTAAAGTGCTACCAGACTATTTGTTGTTGTTTAAGTTTTTCCTGTTAGCTAGGATTAGTCTGTACAAAGCATGTTATGAGCTGGTTTTATATTTATCCATTTCCACTATTCTTACTCACTATTTCCTGAACGTCTAGTCTTTGATAATATATTTGCAATGAAAACAAATGTATCTCAGTGCTGTGGTGCTAAGCAAAGTGCTGGCTGGGAGCTGAATTCTAGAAGCTGGTGTTTACTGTTCTTCCCGTGGGAACAGCAGTCCCGGTAATTCTATGACTGTTCAGTGGTTGAGGAACTGGACACTAGGGAACATCTGGAGATTGCTCAGGGTTTGTGCCTTTCATTAATAGGCACAGAAGAACCTGGCAGGCAGTGCTCATGTTGCCAGAGACTGGTGGATTTAGGGAGCTGGATCACAGCAGGCACGGATAAAGCTGCTTCAGTGCTAAGAGCAGGTGGTGGTAAGTGCCTCACAAGCCTAAGTACTCCTGGGGAGTGTCATATACGATTAATGTTTCTGGGAAAGAATCATGGCTTTGCTTAGCTGGCTGGATCATGGTTAGAGGGCTCCATAAATCATAGAATACTAGGACTGGAAGGGACCTCGAGAGGTCATCGAGTCTAACCTACTCTTAAATATCTCCAGAGATGGAGATTCCACAACCTCCCTGGGCAATTTATTCCAGTGTTTGACCACCCTGACAGTTAGGAACTTTTTCCTAATGTTCAACCTAAACCTCTCCTGCTGCAGTTCAAGCCCATTGCTTCTTGTTCTATCCTCAGAGGCCAAGATGAATAATTTTTCTCCCTCCTCCTCATGACACCCTTTCAGATATCTTTTAGATACCTGAAAACTGCTATTTCTCCACATCTTCCTTGAAATGCGGTGCCCAGAAATTGGACACAATACTCCAACTGAGGCCTAACCAGCGCAGAGTAGAGCAGAAGAATGACTTCTCGTGTCTTGCTCACAACACACCTGTTAGACTAAGTCAACTGTTGCCTTTTTATCTGAGACAGCGATACAGTGGTGGGAATACATCAGGTTGGACAAACAATGGCAAAGGGAGATTAGCGAACAAAAATGAGAAAAAATGCTTCACTTTCATGACAGACCCACCTCTTCAAAGTTATCAATCATGAAGAATATGTTAGGGTAGCTGATCTTCGATTCCTCTCCTTTGCTGTCCATTGGATGTTTGCTTGGAGAGGCAAACACTTGCTGGAAGAAATTTTGAAGATGTTGTATATCTGACTTCTTGAATTTATGTACAATTATAAATAATTTAAAAAAAACAACAACAGAGTCAAACACTGCAGAACTGGCCAAAGGCATATTTTAGGACTATTTTACCTTCCTTTAAGCCAACAATTCTCCAACTTCGTTGTGTCTGCTGTAGGGGTGTAAATACCATTCAAACCACAATTATATGGTTTAGGCAGTTAACCATTTGTGGGCCAGTACAGAGTAGGATGATCTTATGGGTCCTAATACTGATCAGGTAACCAATTATCCTTTTACATCCCTAGTCTGCAGTAGTGCATGCCCCTCCTCCACACACACCATGTCCATCCTTACTTCTGTGTTGGTGCTGACAGCAGTGCTGCCTTCAGAGCTAGCTGCCCAACTAGCAGTCACCGCTTTCTGGCTACCCAGCTCTTGGGCCAAACTAAAAGTAGGGGTGGCAATTCTTTAAATCGGCTTCCGTACCTAATGACGGGAAGATAGCTAATGTGACATCAATATTTAAAAAGGGCTCTAGAGGCGATCCTGACAATTACAGACCGGTAAGTCTAACTTCAGTACCGGACAAATTAGTTGAAACAATAGTAAAGAACAAAATTGTCAGGCACGTAGAAGAACATAAGTTGTTGGACAAAAGTCAAGACATGACTTCCCTTTACAGAAACCATGTTACTAATCCATTAGAGTTCTTTGAAGGGGTTAACAAACATGCAAACAAGGGGGATCCAGTAGATATAGTATACTTAGATTTTCAGAAAGCCTTTGACAAGGTCCCTCACCAAAGGCTCTTGTGTAAATTACATGGCCATGGGATAAGAGGGCAGGTCCTTTCTTGGATAGAGAACTGGTTAAAAGACAGGAAACAAAGGGTAGGAATAAATGGTAAATTTTCAGATTGGAGAGGGGTAACTAGTGATGTACCTCAAGGGTCAGTCCTGGGACCAATCCTTTTCAACTTATTCATAAATTATCTGGAGAAAGGGGTAAGCAGTGACGTAGTAAAGTTTGCAGATGATACTTTTTAGGATAGTCAAGACAGAAGCAGACTGCAAGGGACTCCAAGAAGATCTCACCAAACTGAGTGATTGGGCAGTAATGCACATTGGAAAAAATAACCCCAACTATATGTACAATATGATGGGGGCTAATTTGGCTATGACAAGTCAGGAAAGAGATCTTGGAGTTATCGTGGATAGTTCGCTGAAAACTTCCACACAGTGTGCAGCGGCGGTCAAAAAGGGAAATAGGATGTTAGTAATTATTAAGAAAGGGATAGAAAATAACACACAGAATATCTTACTGCCCTCCCCCCCCCGTATAAAACTATGGCACGCCCACTTCTGCACTCTGCCTTTATTAACCATCTGCCATTCTCTGAACCATCTAACAGTTGCTGCATGCAATTCTAGGTCACAACAATGGAAGTTTGTGTGACTCTGAATATTGCTGTCACCAGTGAGACTCAGAAAAATTTAATCTCATGCAGTTTAGAGAACTGAAAGATAAAGACATTAACAACCAACCTCCTATCATGGTCAATGTTACAGAGTTATCTTGCATATAAAGATATTACATTAAAAGGCAGAAAACTAATAAGAGAGTTTTTTTTAAAAATACCCCTCCACCCATTTAAACTCAAAAGAGATAATGAACAAAACCCAGCAACACTCTCTCTTTATATTCAACATCAAAAAGGGCAGCAGTTCATTAAGGAAAATATCCAGGGGACTGGAAACTGGGCACTCACACAATGGAGATAAATGAATAAGAGATGATAGAAGCTAATAATTAGAAAGGATAAGGAATAATTTTACTTTTCTCTGTGCACATCATATGCAAATTTTCTAATGTTTGTTTTTGGCAGTGTATTGGTTACTTGTAGTCCGGCGCACCTGGTGCTGGCCACTGTCAGCAGACAGGCTACAGGGCTAGATGGACCTTTGGTCTGACCCAGTATGGCCATTCTTATGTTCTGCAACCTTTCTACAGTAGTCCTGCTCCTCTCTCTTTTTCCTAAATCTTCTCATGCCCTCCTCCCAAAATACATTCTGCATCCCCCCCAGGCAGGTACAGTCCTCAGTTTGAGAACCTCTGCTTTAAGTCAGGAGTGTCAAACTCTTCCTATTAAGAAGGCTGAGCTGCATTACTAATGACAGCCTAGGAGCCAGGGTAAACTTTTAGGACTAACTACTACTCTTAATCCAAAGTGCCATTGGTATCAGTGGAAGGTTTGCACAGCGATAAAAGATAGAATATGAACAAAGTATCAACTTTTAGTTATTTGCTTTGTAAATTAATTCATCTCAAAACCACTCCCTGAGAAAATATGCTCCTCTTTAGGGCCGTTACTTTTTCTGCTCTATCCTCTTTTTTCCCCATTTCTACTCCTCTTCACTCCTGGAGGCTCTCCCTCCTTTCTTCCTCTCTGCAGCAACTCCCACTTCATCAGCTAATATGTCCTCTAATAAAATAGCTAGTGGTGACATTTAAAGTAGTCTCAATATTTAGAAGTAATTCACTACTGAGAACAAGGCACAAGGTAGGAGGAGGCGTTCACACTAAATAGCATGTTTCCTGGTTGCCTATTTGCTGAGTTAGGAAGACAACATGGCTTTGGTTTACACTCTGTTCACGTTTGGAATGTTATCTTCCCAGCCATGAGGTTCTGCAACACATCCACCCACAACGTGAGCCACAAATCCATGAAGTGATTAGGATCTTACTCTACTCTTAAGGCTATTGCCTTCTGTCATTTTACATCTGGGCTGTTGATTTTTGGCCTCTGGGTAGATTTTACCTTTTAGTAGGAGCGAGTCTCTTCTCTTTACCTGTAGCTCCCACATCTACAATCTCTCCCAGCAGCCTTTTCTCTGTCCTCTTCTGGGTGTGATGCCCTGCCATTTTGGGGCAATTTTTAGACGTTCTTCACAGCTGAATGTACACCCAAGAGACTCCCAACAAAGACGCTGAAAGGCACTGGGCTGGGTTTTGAGCCAACCCCCCAAAACCCTATCCTGATAGCAGAGAGCTTCGCAGAGAGGTTTGGGTGCAAAACGTTTGTCCTCGAAGCCTCAACAATAGTGGATTCCTCTCACCTGAGATTTCTTTTTGTGTATGTGAATATCCCCTCCATCTGAGCGAGTACACACAGCACAGGTGACCACATAGTCCAGCTGAAACAGATGACAGAAGCATCAACAGTTGGGGAGGGAGGGAGGAAGGAGGTAAGGAAACAGATACTCAGAACTTAGTATTAGCATGCAAAACAGAAAACACGTTACAGTCACAGTTTTCATCTATCTGGCCTTGTCTACACTGGCATGGTTTGTCACCAAAAACTGCTTTTTGGCAACAAAACAGTGAGAACATTTACACTGTAATGTGAGTTGTTGGGGAAAAAATTCATTTTGTTGACAGTAAACTTCCACCCCTGTGAGAGACTTTTTTCTTTTTCCCCTCCCTTTATTGTCGACAAAGAGTCAGTGTGGATGCTGCTGTTTGTTTTATCGAGAGAACTGGCTTCTGCCAGTATCCCACAGTGCCCACCCTAAAGGCTACAGTTTTTTGTGATCTCTGTTGCCTGCCGCACATGCAACCCTCCCCCTTTCAAAGCTCCAGGAAGTAGCCAACAGCTGAGTGAGTGCTCCCTTTGGGGAAGAAGCAAAGAACAAATCACTGGAATGCTCCTGTTCTGCCCTGCTAGGAACACAATAGCAGGCCGGCTACTGCTGCAGAGGGAGGGCTGGAGAGACTGCTGTGCTGCTTTGACATTCCTTAGCACAGAAAGCTCACAGAACAATGAGGGAATCCCAAGAAGTGCAGGGATCAGCTCTGCCTTCCCACAACACTGCACTGTGGGATGTTTAAATGTCAACAATAGGAGGCAGAAAAACCGTTTTGAGCGTTTTTCACTTTTGGTGACTTTTGCATGTCAACAGAACTTTTGTCACCCAACCTTCCCAGTGCTGACATAGCCTCTGTCTCGTTTCAAAGAAAAATAGGTTTGCATTCCAATTTCTTTTCTGCCCCAGCTCAATGTTGTTTTATTTATAGCCAAGATGTACTTATTCTGACCATTACTTCAATCTCTAATAGCTCTGCAGAGACCTTTATTGTTGTTATTATTTATAGTCAACTCCGGATGCGGGTGTAGGAATCCCACAATCATTCTATTCAGAAGTAAGTTCAGGGGTTGGCTGGAGAAGGAGTGTGCCAAATGTAGAAGTTAGTTTAAGGATAAACTGGATGAAATTGATTCCGTGGGCATGGAAATAAATAGAAATGTTAATTAGGAAAGGGCAACACCCAGGAAATATCCCTAGTCATGAAGCACCCTACCATGTAATCTGAGTAAATTTGGAACAAACATTTCCCAGCTGTGAGTATAATCTCAGAATCTCTGGCTTACAGTGAAATTATGCTATTGTATTCTACATTAAAAAAATTGTGAAAATTGCTCTCTGAAAAGCATCTTTAGAATTAGCCTGTTGGATAGTAAAAGAGGAAAAATGGAGAGAGAAAGAGAGAGAGAGGGAAGATCTCCCATTGTGAGATTGTAATCAATAAAAACTAGTGTAGATCTAGAATGATTATAATAAAAATAATTATCCCAAAAACTCCATATAATGTGTATTAACTAAACAATTCACGTGTTATTCTGAAAAAGAAAACAAACAATCTGTACTACTTCCAGATGTCTCCAAATAAGAAATAGCTTGCTAAACTTTTGATGCCAGTAGCTAGCAAATCAATAGAAATGTAGAAATGCTATTAGCAGGAACTCAGAACATTTTTTAATTACATCAACATTAAAAAAAGCCTTCATTAAGATTTGAAAACAGTCTTATCATATCACTAGATGAAGCTCACCTATTTTCTCATTTGGTTACAAAACTCAGCACATATTCGTTGAACATTGGAGGATTTACGGTTTTTAGATGGGAATCGTAGCTATGGAAATGTACATAAAATGTACATTCGCTCCAACCCAGAGAATCAAGATGAAACATGAGTTGTTTTTTTCCCTTCCCTGAATTGCTGAAACACCTCAAGCTATACTGTAGGTAAGAGCTGGCTTTGAAATCCCTGTTACCATGATTAGTCTGTCAGACTAAAGTGAGCATCAGAAATGGAAGAGGTTCGTGTCACCTTCTGCAGGATGAGGTTCAGATAGACGCTCTCCTCCCAATCGATGTCTGGGTCACCCAGGCCAGGAAGCTTCTTGGAATCCCTACGATAAACTTCAACTTCAACCTGCTGATAGAGGACAAGACATCCGGGGTAAACATGATATACAAACACCCGTGTGTGTGCATTTTTGCACTGCACTTGGAACCTCTGCTTTGAAATGTGCTGCCACTTCTGCCAGAGCCTGGATTTGTTCCCTGAAATGTCATCTCTTACAAACTTTTTCTGGTGTAGCAGGGAAGGGATGAATGTAGAATAGAAAATACACCCAAGTACTATTTTCTATATTTTTATAGTTTTCAGAATTGGGGAGGGCTTTTAGTTTTGGATATTCATCTCATTTATTCAAGTAAAGTCTAGAGTTTATGCTAGTCATTTTAACCAAGCACATATATAAAATACTCACATAAAAGGGACAGGATAATGTCACCTTGTAAGTGAAAGATGGTGGCAGATAATGCATAATTTAATCTAATGGTGGTTATCTGGAATGATGGGGGAAAGAACAAGAATCTTAAATTAAAAGCATCTGAGAAACCTTCATTTCAAAGGATTTGAAAGTGCTTTATAAAGGAATCACTTCACCTACTAGTGAAACATCTTTTGGATAGAAATTCTGTAGAGCTCACAGTAATTCTGCATAGCAGTGTAGGTGAGGAAGCAAAGAAGGATGCGTGTGCATTTGCTTTCACAAGGGAAACTTAGACTATCATTGCACAAACTAGAATTTAGCCAGCACACCCCTCTTTTTTCCCCCCATGAAAAAAGTGCTAGGTTACCTGTACTGATGACATTACTTGCAATGGGGTTTTTCCATCTTATCCAGAGATGAGAGGGTCCAGCACAGTCTCACCTAACACCTACCTGTTTGGGACACTGACTCTGAGGGGGTGAGGGGGGAGAAATGGAGTATCTACCACATCACTAACACTACTTCTTATAATCCTTCCGTTTTCCTTAGAGGTTTCCCATCAAGTACTGACTCTGCTTCCCTTTAGGTAATATGAACTCAAACAACAAAGCCTGCACCAGTGAAAGGACAGATGACAATGATAAAAAATGGCCTAGATAGGAATCTTACAGCCTAAATAGTGCACATGTATTATTTATAAAAGGACTGAGTTTGGCACAATACCAATATACAGAATGCGCCATGTAGCTGGATCTATTAGTATATATTAAAATAATACTTTGAAGGAGAACCTGACCAATAGACCTAAATACACACAATATCTCTAAAGACATCTGTTATGTTAATGTATTGATATGTTTGCATCCTATCTATTATTTGACAGAACACCAGAATAGCTAAAAAGAATCTATTCCTTACCACAAAACAGTGTCAGAAAATGCCAGACAGCATAACATAGCTAAGAAACATCCACTCATGCACCTTCATTTTGTTTTCACTGGGGCAAGAGGAGAGCTACTGAGTTTAGAAAATAAAGCTAGCTAGCTAGATAAATAAGTACATACATAATTTTTTTTAAAAAAACCAGGAGAATAAAACTACAAGAAACAAGCCCCACAGGAAATACAATGCAGCACTGTGTTAATTCTATACATAATTCAAATCCTCCAAAAAGAACAAATGCTAGAATAAATGCAGACATGTACAGAAGAAAGAAAATGAGGGAGCACAGTGTTTCAGAGCAGGTAGCAAAAACAGTCCTAAGAGAGGAAGCATTACCCAGATCTTGGTTCTACTCACAGCTCTACAATGACCTTGTCTACACAGGGACATTTAGAACTATGTAGACAAGCCATGACTAGCTACAGACCATCAGAAAATAGCTGGGGAGAGAGAAGGCAGTGGGGCAAGAGACATATGGAATAAGGCGTAGTTTGGGATAGTATTCATAAACAGTTCAGCAAATCAGATTCTGGTTCTCTTCTGGACACTTAAGGGGGATTGCAGGTCTCTTCAGCGGTTACATCATTCCTTGGTTTACTCAGTCAGCTCCAAAAACAAAGAAACCATAATAAAAGAGTGAGGGGAGGCAAGGCAAATCCCTTCCCAGGTCAACTCCCTGTCAAAAGCAGAATTATTCCTTATTGTAAATTTATTATGTGATTTGTCCAGACTAGTTTTTAAATGTGCCAACCAATAGCATTATCATCATGTCCACTATTCCACAGCTTAATCTCACTCACAGAACGAAGATTTCCTAATAATTATCCGAAATGTTTCCTTTATTATTTTCCCCCCATTACTAACACTTATAACGTCTCATACTATTCTCAATAATTCTGATTTATCTTTTTTTCAAAAGACTGGTCAAATATTTGAGAATTTAGGTCTTCCACATCTTAGCTATTATTTTACCAAACTAGACACATTTCATTCCTTCCACTATCCTTTCCTTGTATGCTGATCTCTCCAGCTGCTTGTATTATTCTTTCATTTTACCAGTCTCTCCTAGGAATGAGGTGTCCAGAAGTCAATGCTGTATTTCAGATGCAACCGTTCCATCACTGAGTGCAGAGAAAGTGTTCTGGATCAATAATGTGATGCTTCTAAATATGGAGTCAGAAATTGGTGTCCAACTTTGCTTTGGTCTTGTATGCCATTTGATGGCAATGCAGCCAATGTGTTTAAATGCCCAAAGTTACCCACCCCCATCCATAGATAGGTATCCATATAAGCTTCCTGATTTGTGCTGAGTACACAATGCTAGATGCCACAGGCTGTTGGCATACATTGTTACTTTGTATCTTTTAGACTGAAAAGTCCTAGATTTAGGATTTTCCTGCCCATTTTTGTTGCATTACTTTTTTTGAAGAGTGTAGGGAGGGACACAAGGAAGCTGGTTATACTCTCCAAGGTAAGAAGTCTTTTAGCTGACTTCACAATATTATCATGTTTCACAAAATGCAGGCCCTGATCCAGCAATGCAATTAAGCAGGTGTTTAATTTTAAGCACACATTCAATCAGTGTTTACAATAGGCTGAAAAAAGTGTGTGTGAGGAGGAGATGGAGGGGGGCGGGAGAGATCTACCAACCTGGGAGCAGCAATTTTGTAAGACAAGGCTTCAAGTGAATCTCCCAGTGATCCACACCCATTGCATTGCTCCTCTTTCGCCCCTCTCCCCACCATACACACTTTAAGCACTATGTGCAGACCTGCAGAAGTCAATATTCTTTGCTGAATGGGTTGTGTGTGTCTGTAAACACATCTTTCCCCCATTAAGTAGCTTCCTGTGTAGCATAGTACCACTGCATGAATCAGCACTCAGTCAAAAAGTAAAGAGTTGTTTCACAGTCCATAGACAAACACACCCACAGATCCATAACAAACCCAATGGAAGCAATTGTTCTCCAAAATACATCATGCCTTCATCTCACTAGCTGTTTAGCACAATTAAGATTCATTCAATGTGGTACTTACGTATCAGATTCAGGAAGCATCAGTGTGCGTTATTTTACACACCGTGATGTATACAGCTATAGAAGCAGGCCATGAAGAACATTAGATGTTACCAGTCTTTAATCTATTGCAGAGCCAGATATTTCATTTACAAGAATGAAAAAAAGACCGCTTAAAAAAAATGTATGGAGATATCTAAGTAAAACAAACACGTGCTGCTAAATGCTGATGGTACATTCCAAGCACTGCCAAACATGCTTTGTGGATACACCGTATTTTCCGGCGTATAAGGCTACTGGGCGGATAAGACGACCCCCTAATTTTTTAGTTAAAAGATAGGTTTTCGTCTTATACCCCAGCGCCCCTCCACCTCTGCCAGAGCAAAGCCTCTGAGGACGCCCCGGCAGCGGGACAGCCCCGGCGCCCCTGGGCTGCCCCGCCGCCGGAGCCCCTCCGCGGCTTTGCAAAGCCGCGGAGGGGCTCCGGCGGCGGGGCAGCCCAGACACACCTGGGCTGCCCCGCCGCCGGAGCCCCTCCGCGGCTTTGCAAAGCCGCGGAGGGGCTCCGGCGGCGGGGCAGCCCAGACACACCTGGGCTGCCCCGCCGCCTGTATACCCGGCGTATAAGACAACCCCCGATTTTTGGGGGATGTTTTTTAGCATCAAAAGTCGTCTTATATGCCGGAAAATATGGTAACTAGAGTGGTCTTCACTCCAAATCGGAGCAGAACATTACACACACATCCCTTTGCTTTTGTCCATAACTCCTTGGTTTTCTTATTTTGTATACATTTCTTGCAAGTAACTGAAAACACATGGCTTGAATTTGTTCTCAGAACGAATATAGCCCAACTATTTTAATGGATCATCATACCTAGGCAGGCCATTTGTCCTGTTATCAGCCAGAAAGTCCCACTTTTCTAAGGTTTGTCCCCAACCCGCTACCTGGACAAAACCAGACATGGCTTTGTCCAGTACTGGAAGGGGGTGAGGTTACATTGTGAAGAGCACTTCACCCTGATGGCATAACTTTGCACATCTCATGTGTGAAAGGTAATACCAGGAGGGGCAGGTTTATTTTATTCCCAGAAGTACCTGAATGTCCAATATTCTGAGGATGCACAAATGGCCAGTCTAATCACACTGCCTTGTAACTAAGGATATCAATATTATTGTTCATCTATACAAATAAATTCAAGAGGCAACAGTCATGCAAAGTCATAATGAGCACTTGAAATGTGTTGAAAAATAAAATGGAGAAAAAACAGAAACATCTCCTAAGGCTTCATAAGCATGTAAATGTTTCTTCTGTAAACAAAGGAACTGTTTTCTAGAGGGCATGTATTCTTGATAAGCATGGCGAGATTAGAATAGAATAGATTAGATAAAACAGACTTATGTACGATTTCTCACCTGAAAAAAGATATTGGGTTGTTTGCATCCTTCATTCAGCCAATAGATTATCTTTCCTAATCCCAATGTATCCTCTTTACCTCATCTATAAAAACTACAGATGAATACATACAAAGGTTGTATATTAGCTGATATTATATATGCAGTTACTCTGGATTAGCTGTCTAATTGTATTCCATTGTTGCATCTGTCACACTTTAAAAAACATCTAAATAATGACTTTGGTGATATTTAAATCAGAAACTTTTGCTTATGCATTTCTACATCTTGTTATTTTTCGTCATCCTG